TTGACCCGAAATTGACACGAAAACTCATTTTGACTCGAATCCCAATATTGACCCGTTTTGACCCTAAAACTCGAGATTGACCCGAAAACTAGCAATTTTGGGTCAACCCGGGGTCATTCGTGTCGGGTCGGGTTGACCCGGACACGAATACGGTCGGGTTCGGGTTGGCCCGAATAGTGCCGGGTCAGTTCCTGATTCGACCTGAACCCAACCCGTTGACCCGAATTGACAAGCCCTATGTAATTTTAAAGAAGACTTTCTCAAAATGAGGAGAGACTGCAGCTCATAATACAAAGGAGACTTCCCTTATTTCTTTCTAAATCAACAAAGACATGAAGGAGGGATGCAAATATGAATTCAAAATTTTTCGAAGAAAATTCCCCCCTATAAATTCAAAATAAATATTTATTAGAAAACTCTGTAGTAATGATGTGTCAGTGATATATAATAAAAAAAATAATAGTTCTATTAGAATTTGAAGTAAGATTAATAAAAAAGATCAAATTAGTGACACTTTTACACATATTAAATATTACAATTTTAGAGGTTTAAAATGCCAAATTGTAGAAGAAAATTCTTAAAAAAAAAAAAATGCCTTGTCCCCCACTCTCCCTCAAATCTCAATTTCCCCATCTTTGCGCAATTCTGCCCCCACTTGCTCCCAGATTTTTTTAAAAGGAATACTCACACACTCACTTTCTTGGTTTTCTGAGATGATGAGTTTACTCATTGGCCAACTTAAATTCCACCATATATATATATATAATCAAAAGCCTTTGTGGTTCATCTTATCGAGAAATTATTACATGCGGAGTCCGGACATAACTCTACGTCTGGACAATAATTAAATGTTGACACACGCGGCCCGACGACCTGACCAGGTCCAGTGATCCAGAGATAAAAAATTTTAAAATCGCGACAAACCAATAATTCTGGTATTCGGAGTTGGGTCACTTTTCATCTTCGAATAAGGATTGCTCTCATTTTAGTTCATGTGCTCTTCATCTTCAAATAAGGATCATTATATTCTTCAAGTAGGCTGATTCGAACGAACAGATTTATCTCCAGAGTGATACTTCATGCATTAGGGAAATTTTTTTAAATATTTTTCTTAATACACACTATGTATTATTGTGTATAAGCCTAGATACAACGATTGTAATAGTTTATGAGCTATTTTTATTCATTTTAAATCTTTCAGAGCTTGTACACTGCTGCGTATTATAATTTTTTTAAAAAAAAAATATTTTTTTTTCCTCATACACACTATCTATTGCTATGTACAAGCCTAGATACAATGATTGCAAAAACTTTGGTGTGGTTTTTATTCCTTTTAAATCTTTTCATGTACCAATTGTATATTAGAGAAATTATGTTAGAAATATTGTTAACACATGTACACATGTTTGCATATGTATATTTCAAAGATCATTTTTCATTTCAAAAAATTAACATTAAGACTTATACATTACTTTTTGGATATTTATCATTTATTATTCGTATAAATTTTTTAAACAGCCACTTAAATGATTCAATTATTTCCTCTGATAGAAAGGTCACTCCAAGTAAAATATTATGTCAATGATTATTACTCTGATAAATGATGCATATACTAAATTATATTTATTAAGCCTACAGATAGTATAAAAAATTACAATATTTACAAAGAAGTCATAATTTATCATGCCCATCTCATCAACCTAAAAAATCAATAATCAATTAAATTCATCAACTTGGACGTCTCATGCAAACAGATTATCATCAACTTGTCTATCTTTAAATAACTGAATTAACGAATTAGTGTCCTCTTATCTAATCTTTTTTTCTCTTTCTGATTGTAGTTGTATTCATCCCTCTTAGAGAATCTAATATTTTTAATACTTCCAATTTCATTGTCAAAAAAGAAAAATGCTTCAATGATACTTATCCCAGCTTCTATCATTTATTTAAGAACTAATGCTTTCTCATCACTAATATTTCTATATGACATACGTAGATGTTGATCTTTTGGCTTAGCCAATTCATGATTGTGACTTTCAATATATTTTTGCACATTTACATTTTCATCTTCATCTACTATAAATCTAATCATAGTTGAACAACCAGTTCTAGTATTTGATTTTTAAATTTTTGATTGAGAATTTAAATCAAGACCCTTTTTGAAATCAAATATTGAATAGAAAAAATCCTCACATCTTATTTTTTTTAAAATTTGGCCATTAACTATGATATTTCTTGTGAACACTAAAATCAACATTATGAGCATAACTGCAGTACATATTGTATGCTTCAATCTTTATTATACACACTCTGTGTACAAGATAAAATTATTATAAAGAGAAAAAATAACATATAAATTATTAACATCATTATTTCTAAGATTATACATAGTAATACATAATTATATTATGAAAAAAAAAACTACATTTCCAAAAAAAATCCTCTTATGCACAGCTTTGTATAAGCTCAAAAAGCTTTAAAATGAACATAAATACAAAATAAATCATTGACATCATACTGTAATGCACAATATTTATTAATTATGTAAAAAAACTACATTTCTAAAGTAATTTTCATTATACATAGCTATATACAAGATTAAAAAGCTTTCAAATGAACAAATACAACACTTAGATTGAGATCTTTGTATCAAAGCTTGTACACAACAATACACAATGTGTATCATAAAAAATAAATATATTTTGAATATAATTTCTCTAATATATAGTTATGTACAAGCCCAAAAAACTTTCAAATGAACAAATATAACACAAACTATTGAGATCATTGTATCCAAGCTTGTACACAGTAATAGACATTATATATTAGGTTAAAAAATTGCATCTTCAAAAAAATTTCTCTTAGACATAGCCATGTATAAGTGCTAAAAGCTTTAAAAAGAGGGGAAAATGCATAATTAAGCATGCCACAACATTTATACAATTGAGAGAATTCCTGAACTTCCAAAAATTATTATTTTAAATGACATTTTACATAGTTATATAAAAGCATGCTTATTTGCGGCATTCAATATATAAATAATTGAAGAATATATCCTAAACCTTAAAAAATTATACATTTACAAGAAACACAGTAATACTTGGGAGGAGTTTAAAATTTATCATAATAATACTAAACCTTAAAAAATTATACATTTATAGGAAACACAATAATTTATCACCCATGGTTGGTTGCAGTCTTGTTAACTTCAAGTCATTCTGGATGATTTGCATATCGCCTTTCGTCTCCTCGGAGAATGCAATATCCTCAAAACTAGTTTCCATCTTCATCGCATATTTCTCATTTTTCTTTCTCAGCATGTATCAAAAGTGATATTTTGTCAAAACCCTAAATATTTGTGCGCTTTCGCTGGTTTTTTTCTTAAAAATGTAAAAATGAGTTTTTGGATCAGGTCAGGTCATCGAATCGCAAGAAAAAAAAATATAAATATTAGAAATTCACACATCAACATTTAATTGGTGTTTGGACGTAGAGCTATATTTGGACTCCGCACGTAATAATTTCTCCATCTTATCAGTTGGCCCAGACTTCTTAGAACTACTGTATCTTTTATCAAAAAGTTAAGAATGATAGTCACTCGAACATAGTAACTATCACACTCAATGATCTATATTAGAAGAATTGCATTTGTTTTTCATTTTAGTATTTAACTAGAGCTTACAAATTTCTTGTGAACAACAGAAAAAAATATGATTACATTTTGTCTAGATTTGTAGGCAGAAAAAATATGCATGTTGTTCGAAGCCTAATATATTAGGATCCTTATCCTTTTCTAAAAACATATAAAGTTATCTAATGAGTACATAGCCCAATAAGTAACTAAAATCTAACAATTGAAATCAAAGCAAGATAAAATAGAACAACGAGCTATAACTGATATAAATAAATATATACATCAATATCTATATATATCAGTTGTATCAATTTATCCTTATATTATTACATCTCAATTTATTACATCATTAGTCACAATATCAGTAATTGTCAATAGTATTAATGTCAGTAACAATATCAGCATCACGATCAATAACATTAAATATTGTTAATGACAGTAAACAATATTAGTATCAGTCATAATATCAGTACATTATTCATAGCAATGTCGGTATCAATATTTAAATATTCAATGAATGCATCTTAAGGGTATCTTGCTCCTACACTTATGGCTCCCAATTAGTCGTCTTTTATAACTCTTAATCAATGTACTCCTTATAACTCTCCTTGAATCATGTGAATTAGTCACCCGACTTATTGTAACTCTCAATAAATCTCCAGCTCCTTCAACTCCCAGTCAGTAAATCAAGTGGAACAATAAGATATCATATATATGATATCATTCAATACATCATTTAAAATATAATAAAATCAAGTCAAATCATTCAAAATGATCAAATCTATAGCATATCCAAACTTGCATGGTGAAAGTTCATAAAATCAGAAGATAATACAATGTTTGTAAATTTATGAGAGCTAAAATTCAAGAAAATTAAAATCATCGAAAATAGAAGTAAGAAATTAGTCACTTATAATAAATACAACAAAATTTGTAACAAGAATGACGAATAAATATGATTCAAAGACTTTTCTCTATCCTCTCTCTTCTTCCCCTCTTTTAATTTCTTATTGGCCAGGCAATTAAGTGAGGAATCACTGGGGTGAGGCAGGAATATATATTCAAAGACCCTAGTGTCGCAAAGCTCATCAAATGAGTGCCAAAACACTCTACTTGAGGATTTTCATGTTTTTCAAATAAATTTATTTTAAATATTTGAGTTATCACAATAACTTGACTTTAGAGAAAGAACAATTACTAATTCCAAAGCTGCACTTTTCCTGAACTGATAACTTAGCAAATACACCCAACTTTCATGTACAATCTGAGAAAAGAACTCTGCAAGAGCATCGAATTCACTGATCTGGATTATCAAAATCAACATCAATATACAAGTATATAACATGATCATTAGCAGGCTAGCAGCTAAGTTCATGAATTTAAGTCCGATTTCTTTCATAAATTACAACAGCAGTTTTGCAGAGAAATTCACGTACAAAAAAGTGGTATTTTATCTCCCAAATCATCATAGAAACATGGAATCAGCTGGGCAAAATACAGAATTTTATATAATCTTCTCTGAGTTCTACATCTTAATGCACATTTACAACTTCAGACTAAATATCTAGGCTTTGATGCTGAGACATCGAGGAAACTTTGTATTTTACAAATTTGGAGAAGCATCAAAGAGATGAAGCATAGAAGATTATAAGGCCTTACTCCAGTATGTCTGCTGGCCAAAGCTGCCTCCATGTAGAGATTTCATCCTTGGAATAGAGTTTTCTGATTCCTCCATAAAATCCATCGGTTTCATTACCTTCTTCACGATGATCCTTTCTGTTTATTGTTGCTTGCCTCCACCTCGAACCTGGAGTATACTGGTTGAACTCCAAGATAATAGTTTCTGCCAACAATTGGAAGGAAAGTAGAAATTACTCCATTGTAGGTGATGAGTTGAGAACCATATTTAAAGTAGGAACTAGAGAGGAGCTCCAGCATTTACAGTAACTAATTTTCCAAGTTTCTAGTTACTAAATTGCTTCTGAATTGTGGCATTTAGTGTCATATAACCTTTTTTTTTTTTTCTTACAATTCCAAGAGAAAGCAATATATATATATAATAAAAAACTAAAATTTTTTCTTGTGTGCTTGAGAACTGATTAAATTTTAGGCACAACATGGGCAAATTGATCTACATTGGTGAAAAAATCCATAGTCAAGCTTTAGGACAAAATTCACAAACTGGAAAAAACCTAGTGGTAGGGAGCAGTAAGTTTACTACTAAATGAAAATAATTGTAGTGGTTCTAGGGAAAGGAGTACCTGCTGGTATATAGAGGTGAAACTTATGAATAGACATCGAGTAAAAAATAAAATAAAAAACACAGAAAAGAAGATAACACAAAAATACAAAATAATTTTATGTAGGTTCATTCCATTGTCAGTAAGCCCCTGCCACTACAGTTTTGTTGAAAGGCTGAAGGCTTAGTGGGGACCATAGGCCAGTGTGTCTAGTAGGATTGGCAAAATTACCTGGTAAGGAAAGAAGCCATGGATTACTCATCCAAGTAAAGAAACACCTCTCCCACGGATCCACGTGCATGAAACAAGGAAGGAATTCTCAAATTACTCGTATGGCGCCAATCAGCACATCCACTGAAGTAATTATTTTGTGCAGAGTCCGGATGGAAAGAACCATCCGGATTGTGAGTGTACACACTGTGTACACAGTGTGTGTACAAAAATTTGATATACACTGTCTACAAATGTGTGCACTAACATGTACCGTCCGGACTCCGAACAGAATAATTTCTCCATCCACTGAGCCACAAAGTGAGCAGCGAGCAGCTGATGGGCTTTAAAAAAAAAAAAAATTGATTTATTGTATTAAATTGTTTTCAATCATTCTCTATGTAGTTTTATGTATAAATGCCCATTAAAGGAACACACAACTCTTGCTTTTATAGTCAATTCCTCTTTCTATATATTTCATTATGGTTGATTGATTAATTGTGGAGAATTGCGACCATAATTTCCTAGAGGTACAATTGACAACACTCCCAGTCTTTATAAAGAGAAAGCGAGGATAGTATTCTAAAAATTCCCTTAATAAAATAACCTTAAATATTGAATAACTTTCAAAGGCGCCATCCTTCCAACCCTTGTAGTGATCGTATCATGAAGATCGACCTATGTCTCAGTCTAGATAGCATGTTTCTTCTTAGGGCAAATGTTAGGCTCCACAACATAACCATACCAACCATGAGATACGAAACAACTATGCAACTTGATTATCTAAATAAGAATTGGAGTACTTTGCCAAGCAACAACTGAAATTTCCAGGTTAGATATTGATCTTGTTATATAGTTGGCTCAATTAGGGGCGGATCCACGTTGCTCCTAGGGTCAGCAGTTGCCCACCCTCATATTTAATTTTGAGACCAAGATAGTTAAACCACATGATGGTATTTGAAATCCTCACCAGAACTATGACAGCGGCAGAAATGCTCATTTCCATCACACAGTTGCAGGTGTCCTACTACTCCATACCACCAGCCTGTAAAACACAATCAAGTTAAAGTTTAAGGTCAAGAAGACAGAAAAATAACAACATCAAAATGGAATCTATGGAAAGATAACTTAGCTAAGAACTTTTAGCTAATCAGATAACCATTAAAAGAATAACAGAATGAAACAATATTTAGAACATATACCATAAGGATATTCTTTGTTCCTTCTCCACTGGATCTCAATATGGTCGCCAGGATGCAGATCATGAAGGCAATCAGAGATGTGTAGATCATGTGCGAGAGTGTCAATAGGTGGTGCTCTTATTCTGTCCCACTCTACTCCTTCCTCCATTACAATGGTCCGGCGTCCATGAGGTGGATACCTAGAGATGAAAGAAATGACAAATAAATCAATCATACACTGCAAATTGCTAAAATTTATTCCCTTCTATAGAGGTAGAGGGAACAAATTCTCTTGAATAACTATACTATAGAATATGCTTTGTATTCTTCCATTTCCACCCTCTTTCTTTCTAAATAATGTGTAAATATCATGCATAAACTCACTTGGCATGGAAGGTGTCTGTGTTACAGTCATAACTTAGCTCTGCATCATAACATGACAACATAAAACCAACATGCCCCTGCTGAAAAAAAAAAAAATTTATAAGCCTGTTGTATCACCATAGTACTAACACAAAACAAGCTTTAAAAGATCTCATTCAAATAAATAATAAAAAATAATTCTATTATGTTCTTCTGAGACTAAAGAATGGCATTTCATTGAACCTCTCATATTTCTAATAATTTTGGAGATATATGGTTGATCTCGATAAATAAGCCTTTTGTTTTGGTTATAAGATAAACATAGCAAAATATACATATCTAGATGCATTTAATTTTAGCTAATGTTTTATTATTTAAATTAAGCTTAGGTTGTTGCTTTACATTAAATTGGATGGTCCAAATTATCGCTTGTTATTAGAAACATGCTATATTAGCATTCCTTAAATTTAAAGTTGAATGAATGGTTGTGATTATCTATAGGCTCAATTCAAATTAGATGGTCAAAATTTTTGGGTTGTTATGAGGGATTCTCGTTAAAATTAATTTCAAATGAATAACTAATTTAACGAATGTATTTAATGCTTTAGGCCTTCTCCAGTCGAACGTCAAACATGCGTATGACGTCTTTCGGTCGCTCCAACCGAACGCCTAACCTTCCACCATTTGCTTGCGGGTGAACAGTGTGACACCAACACTGTTCACCCGCTATATGCTTTTTTTTTTAATTCGAAAAATTGGTTATTAATTTTAAAATTTTAAGTATGAGAAAGAATATACTAGGAATATTCTCTTTTTGGAGTTAGAAAATGAAGTTCTGTTAGAGACGAGTTACTGCATATTGGTGTATTACTGTATTTTGTAGTTAAAAATGAGTTTTTCGGTTGGAGATTACCTTAGATTAAAATTGAATATTGATGAACAAACAGCTTTTATTAGTAGTATATATTTAGCAAAAAAAATGAAACGTTAATTATACCTAACCAAGTTCACATTCCAATTCAGTAATTCCATAATTGAGGTCATAACATACTAAACTAAACCCATTCTTTCTAAACAATGGTGTAGTTAATCAAAATATACGTTGAACGAACCAGAAAACTGTTCATTGAAGAAGAAGATTCAAAGTGAAGAATGAAGAAAGAAAAAGTTAAATTTGAATTCAATGGATCATTACCTCCCGGTTGTAGATTTGAGCTGGGAACCAGAATTTGCCACTCTCAAGAGACAAATACCATGACATGATGGAGTCGTCAGGCAAAGGGCTCTTAAGCTTTCTACTTCCATCAAGCCTAAACTTGAGCCAGGAAAGAGAACATAGACGTGAGAGGGATCCAAATAGCCTCTTTGGCTTTCCAACAGAGTTGCAGATGGATGGCTCATTCCTCGCATTCAAATACTTATGCCAATTCCTTTCTGCCGTTTTGCCGATCACTCTCCCCCACTTCTCTCTCATCTGCCTCTCCCACAAATAATCACTTCTGCACCTCTGCCTCAAAGACCTGCAAACTCCAGCCATGTTACACAGGCCGGCAGGAGAAAGCTTCCCCAAAATACACTCCAAGGCCAACTCGGGCAAATCTAGAACAGAAATCTCATTCGAATCCTCTATGGTTTCGATCCGAGAGGCATGCTTTTTCGCAGCCATGGATTTGAAAACGTACTTAACAGAGTTCAAAGAAAGCAAATGGAATTCTTTCACAAACAAGAACGAAAGCAATCTACCTTCTTTTGCCCATGAAGGGAAAGGCTGCAAGGGAAGTGACTTGGATAACAGGAGGAAAAAGGAGAGTGATGATATAAGGAGGAAGAAAAGCATCAGTAAAGCAAAGAAGATGGGGCTCGTCGACAGGCCGATTTGTGAGCCACATAAAAGATCAATAAAAAAATAAAAATAGGAGCCAATTCTTTAAAAAGAAAATTGAGGCTCAACCTATAATGAGGAAAAAAAAAAGACTTGTTTGTGGATCAACCCAGGAACAATCCCTTTTTATCAATTATCGGTATGCTGAGGGTGAATCCCACTAAAGCTTCAAATCCGGATTTCCCGAATCGAAGAGGCGATCGAGATTAAAGAAGAAAACAAAGCTCCAAGCAACAACAGAGGGTCCTCTGTCCGACTAAGCAAGTGGATAAGACACCAAGATTTCTCTTAAATCAAACCTGCAAACTAAGATTTTTTGTTTAGAATTGAAGATCGTTAGAAGTAAATATAAGAAGGATCTTGATGTGGAAAATCCGTAAAGGAGGAAAGTGGATCTGGGCTGAGGATGAAAGGAGATGAGAGCGTCGTCGGACTTCGTCAGTTCATCGGAATCCTCACCGGAACTCTAAAAATCCTCAGCACCAGAACCCAAATCGATCTCCTTCTCTCCCAGTCCCCAGAGACTGTGCTCTGAAAATAGCGCGAGCTAGGAGAGGGAGAGAGAATCCGAGAAGGAACATACTATCAGAGATTCCGAGGCGAAAGGATTGGGTGTGGTCTTATTGGTAAATAGGTGGAGGAGAATTACCCGTTTGCGCATTATTAGGGACGAACACCTACCAGAAACGGACACCTGGCCGTTGTCCTTCGGAAGAGCAAGTTCCTCTTTTTCTCCCTTCAAATTCTGTTTTCTTTTAAATAATTTAGAATTTTTATTATAAATATTAAATACCATGACAAAATACACATAATTGCCCCACATTTTACAAAGATTTTCAAATATAAAAATATTGTATTTCTTAAAAATACTACCCAAAAAATCATATAGTATCAACAATAATGTCAAATAATAATTTTTTCTAAGAAAATATATTCAATATTTATTCATTTTAATTGCACACATAAAATAATGAGTTTCAAATAATTTTTGTACATATTTTATAAATTTTTTTGAGGAGCATATTAATGTTCGTATAAAATAGAGAAATTATTACGCACGGAGTCCGGACATAGTACTCTATTCAAAATATGTCACATCACCTGCACACAGGATGTGTACTAGTTTGTACATAATGTACGTATAATACACACCCTATGTATAGGCGACGTGACCAATATTGATTGAAGTTCGGATATATCCAGACTCTGCACGTAATAATTTCTCAATAAAATCGGTGGCGGGGGATAGCTTCAAGTCTGGTTGTCTTTTTGGATAAAGATTATAGTTTTAGTTGAGAGGTCATTTTTCTTCTGATTAGTATTTATTTCTCTCTCAAGATGGGTGAGTTCTTCCTATAAGAGCTGGAAATATGACCATAACAGCAGTTAATATGCTTTTGAAATATGCCATCCAATGAATTTGCTCGCAGAGTAAATCCTTTATAGACAGAAAAGCTCTATATTGAAGTTAGGCTTCGTTTGGGACTGTTTTTTTATTGCTTTCTAAAACGGAGTTTTAGTATAAAAATAAAAAAAATTTGTACTAAAACTCCGTTTTAAAAAGCAGTAAAAAAGTCATCCCAAACTAAGCCTTAATTAGGCTTTCTTTTTCTTTTTGTTTCTAAAAATTGCTTTCACAATCGCAGTTTAAAAAATGATTTTTCTAAAATAACTTTTTAAAGATAAAATTTTGAGAAGTGATTAAAAGCCAATCTTCCAAACAAATATTATTTTTCACTAACGGCTTTTTTATTAGAAGAAAAAGTCGAAAAAGCACTTTCAAATGGCTTTGTTTGGGACGGAATTTTTTACTGATTCTTAAAACAGCTTTCTGGTACAATTTTTTTTATTTTTGTACTAGAAAGTTGCTTTTAGAAGCTAGAAAAAAAGCCATCACAAATGAAGTCAAAGTCTTAGGTTTCGTTTAGGATATCTTTCTTATTACTTTCTCTGATACAAAATTTTTAGTTCTCAAAAATTTTGTACTGAAAGCTATTTTAAAAAAGCATTAAAAAAACAGCCTCAAACAAAATTATAAGGTTTGTTTGGGAAGCAATAGTAATAAAGTTAACCCAAATATAAATAAAATAAAATAAAAAGAAAAGAACGAATACAAGGAGAGAAATCATAAAGATACTAGAAAAAAGATCTTATAAGCGAAACCAAATAGTGATAGTAGCACCTCTTCCTTTAGAACTTGTGAGTCAAATCTCAAGCTTGAACTCGAATCAAGTTCTAAAGGCGAGCTCTAGCTCAGCTCGTGCTAGTGAAATGAGCTCGAGAGCAGCTCGTGAGCTTCTATGGTCCGGCATTTGCGCGCGCTTCGCCTTTCGCAGTTTAGCATTCTAGCACACTTCGCCTTCTTTGGTCTGGCATTTGCACTCTGCTCGCCAGTTCACTTTTGCACTTCACTAGTTGACCCATGCTTCGCCTTATGCGATTCAGGTTCTGTGGTCCGCAGGTTCGCGCACATTTAATTGAGCCGCTCGACGAGTAATAGAGTTGAGCATCATCTGAATCGAACTAGAACTGAATAATCTAACGGGCTCGAAGTTCTGCTCGAGCTCGAAACTCGATAAGCTCAACTCACGAGCTCATTAACAAGTCAAGTTCGAGCCAGTTCACGAGTCGGCTTGCTCGTTTGCACCCCTAGTGCGTATCATTATTTATTTGTGTCACCAAAAGACAGAGATTGGCAACCTGGCAATCTAGAATAAAATAAAGCTATAGATCATTATCATTTCATAAAGCTTTGGTTAATTAGATCAATCCAATAGTTCAGTTGAACCTTCCAGTTGTGCTTATCCAAAATCTAACTTATTTATCAACATATTATCATCTAAAATTTCTTCCTAAATCCTAAATCCTAAATCTTAAGCTTATTTCAGTGTGAAAGAAGAGATAAATAATAAAATAAAAAAATAAATAAATAATTTTCAAAAGCTAGCTGTAACCAGCACTCAACCTTGTCTCCCACAATGGATTTGGCTTGTATGTCTGTATCTGAGATAATTTATATATGTATATATATATAAATTTAGACATATAAAATTTATTAATTAAGCATGTGAATAACATGCATGCCCAGTGTTCAAATTTGACCAACTGGCTAAAAGATGCCTTCCATTCTTCCAAGATCAAAATTGGCATTATTTTGTTTTATATAGAAAGGGGATCAAAAGTAGACAATCATCCAACTACTTACCATAAAAATTTGCGAAAAAGTAATAGGAAAGTTGCATCCAAACGTAGTTGTGTCAACTTTCTTGAAATCAGAAAGCAAAACTCTAAAAAAGCTACCTCAATTAGGAATTTTTATTAGGTCCGGTGTACTGACGTAGCTCTACGTCCGGAGGCCAATAACATGTCGCCACGTCCTCTTACTTTTTACCGAGCGGCCCGATGACCCGACCCGGACCGGAACCCGGTATTGCTATGTTCATGTATTGCTAGGTATTGCTAGGTATTGCTAGGTATTGCTCGATATTGTTAGGTATTAATTGACAATAACGAGAAATACCGTTCTGTCAAGATCAATACCGAGCAATACCTAGCATTCTAGCAATACCTAGCAAAACTGGGGTATTGCTCGGTATTGCTCTGTATTGCTCAGTATTGCTAGGTATTGGTCTTGACATAATGGTACTTCTCGTTACCGAGCAATAATGATCAATATCCCGGTCTATACAAATCAGCCAATACATAGCAATACCGGGTCCGTGTCCGAGTCGAGTCGTCGGACTGCGCGATAAATAGTAAGAGTACGTGACACTATTTTACTGGCATCCGAATGTAGAGCTATGTCAGGACACCGGACCTAATAAAAATTCCCTCAAATAGACCCTATGTATGAGAAAATTATTAGGTCTGGTCATCGGACCTAAAAATAGGTCCGGACATCCAATTAAAACTTGCCACGTTGACCGCGCTTTGACTGTGCGTTTTTACTACGTTTCGGCTGCGCTTTACCTTTAATTTACCTGCACTTTACGTGTGCGTTTGACACGCTTGACTTAAAATTCCGCAGACACGTGCACATTCCACATGTCAATATTTTATTGGTATCCGGACGTATCTCTACGTCCGGTGACCGACCTAATAATTTTTCCTATGTATGAGACTTCAGCTCAGGTGCTAGCAAAGTCAATTTGATGGCTAAAGTACAAATGCTTCTCAAGGGCTTGAGGCAAGCAATTGTATCTCTTTTGATTCAATATGTACCCTTTTCAGTCTAGAGATCTTAGACTATTAATATCTGTGAGCTATATGCAAGAAGGAAAGTTCCATGTGAGTTAATCATGAAATTTGAAATCTTTTTTTAGGTTTCTTTTTCATCGTATTTTATGGGCGATTTTTAATTGAGAATTTGAAAAGAAATAGTAAGTGATCATATTTTTTTGCATTATCTCACAATTTTATGAGCAGGAATAAAACTTCATTCTATTATAATATATAGTGGTGGATTATATAACTAAAATAAAAGAGTGTAACCCACAGTTGCTTAGCTCGTGTGGGAAAGAACCGGCTGGGCAAAACCTAGGTCCCGAGTTCGATCCCCATGGGCGGCAGCGAAAGCCTTAAGTGTTAGCCCGGACTAATTGGTGTGAGTAGTCTGCTAGGTCGACCGGGGTTTATAACCCGCGAAGCGGGTTGGTTCCTCGTCACAAAAAAAAAAGAGTTCCTCGTAAAAAAAAAAAAAAAAACAGCACGATTAATTGAAGGAAATGTCTCGTGCATTCAAATGAGAGATATATATTATTTTTAAAAAATCGAACAATTATTTTTTAAAAGCTACCATAGATGAGAACCGCTGTTTATAGAAGCAGTTGTCAACCACAGAAATTTTTGACAAATAATAAAAAAGCAATGAGAAAATAATAACTAATCATTTAATCTTTTTTAATCCATAAGTAATCTAAGCAATTATCATGATCACCAGCTAATTATTGACATCTTAAGGGAATATCCATATTTAGGAAGTTGGTGACGGGTTAAAATTTTAAAGATTACTAGGTACTTGCATGACACATCTTGTTCTTTTATATGTCATGATAACTCATTATTTTTTAATTATAATCCATTCAATAGAAATGTGTAAATAAGAAATAATATTATTTGTATATTCCTACAAGAATTCTACAAGTATTATAAGTATTTATATTAGGATATATGATGATATATCTAAGATTTTTTTTTTTTTTAGTGAACTATCTAATAAATATGAGAGTGAATATTTTATAATTCATAATAGAATAAGATAACCCATTGTATCCTATCACAATGAAGCATAAATAAGAAAATCAAACTAAGTACATGTATGCTAATAAGACTAATAAATGTATGAAAATGCTTAAGATATGATAATTCTTTCGAGTAAGGCCCGTTTGGGATGGCTTTTTTACTGCTTCTTAAAGCAGCTTTCGAGTACAAAAATTTTACCACATGTGATAATTTTTGTATAATAAGCGATCTCAAATTAACTTAAAATAGTTGCTCTTAAGTAACTAAGATGGTGGCAAAAATATAATCTCAATGCAATGAAAGAGTATTAATAATGATAACTCTATCACTTAAACACAAGTGCATTCAATGTGTGAATCATTACAATAACATGTAGAGAAAGATCT